ATTCCTAAATGCATCTACTTTCGGAAGACCAAATAAAGTGCTTTTGCTTTTGCCTAGAAACACACAGCGTCTCCCTGACATGCTGCTTCAACACTAACTGCGGTTACTGAAACCATGCCTTCTTTCTTTGCGTGAACATTTGGGCGGCATTATGCTAATATTTCCACATAGTGAGGTAGACATGTGGGGGCGTGTTAGAACGAGGCATTTTAGGGGGGCGTGGTTGACTTAACTTTGATAAAGAATATCTCTTTGGTTTTGAGACTTTAGTCTTTGCAACTTCAGGGATCTTATCTATGCACAATCAGCTTGTAACACTCCAAAGAGAAAGCAAAACTTGAAATCGCATCATATGACCCCTTTAAAACATCTTGCCATACCAAAAGTGGACGTTTCTGTAGCATGACCTGTAAATGTTAACCTTGCGTAAAAATGCCATTAACGTTTGCCCCAGCAGTGCGTGCGCATAAACTGACTGGGATGGCGCGCATTTCTGAGGCGACTCAGTTCTATCAGATTATATTTATGATTTTTATTAAAATAATATGAGTAATACAATTATATTGTTTCAATCGGAAGAACGAACGGAGAGCTGCGTTCCAGTTTTACTCGAGTCGGCAAAGTACTGACTCAGGCTAATTGCGAAATCGTAGAAAACCGTGTAAGTGACATATTTTGGATTCACAACAGCTAATTACGGTCTCGGGACAATTACGAAATGTAGAAAATCAATGAAAAAAAAAATGTAGGGCAGAAGTTGATCTTATATTGCTATATCTTGTTAGTTTTGTTTTGTTAGTCGCTCATCGAAGCAGATCAGTGGTTAGAGGTAAGTGGTTATTTTTCCTGTTCAAGTCTTCATGATAAAGCCTCAGGAGCCATAAACGTCTACAGGAGAGAAACCATACTCATACTTTCAGTAAGGTAGGTGTTTTGATGTGACTCATGAGAAAAAAAAAAACTGTAGACGTTTTAAAGGAGATTTTAAAAGGACCTTTTAGATTGAAAATTGAGGAAAGAAATTAACACTTCACACAATTTGTTCAACCTTGAGAAAAACCACACTCTTGCCTGTAAGTATGGGAGCAGTGTCTATGTGCAACCAAATCAAACATTGACGTCACGTTACCAAACCTTTTTTACAAGAAATGACCAAAAAACAAAGGAGACAGACTGTGGCTGTCTATGAGCAAATGCTAACACGTGCTTTCTCCAGATATTACAGACCTTATCTGAATGTGGTAAAGACTTCAAGGGGTCATATGATGCGATTTCAATTGTTCCTTTCTCTTTGGAGTGTTACAAGCTCTTGGTGCATAAAGAAGATCTGTAAAGTTGCAAAGACTAAAGTCTCAAATCCAAAGAGATATTCTTTATAAAAGTTAAGAGTCAGCCACACCTACCTAAAACGGCTCGTTCTAACACGCCCCCACATGTCTACATCACTATGTGGGAAGATTTGCATAACGCCGCCCAAATGTTCACGCAAAGAAAGAAGGC